AAAAAAACAAACAAACAAACTAAATACTAATGAATAGTAGTAAATAGTAGTCAGTTAGTCTCTGCAAATATGCTAATATAGGGGATACAATTATTGCAGTGGTAAAAGAGAGGCAATTGCTAATATCATAATATCATAATATGTCAATTAAGAAATCTGAAATAAAAAACGCAGTAGTAGTTCATACACGTGAAGGAATCAAAAGGCAAAGTGGTATAACGATTCGGTTCGTTGATAATGCAGCAGTGATTATTAATCAACATGGAAATCCAAGAGGAACACGTGTTTTTGGACACAAAGTAGTACCAAGTACGACAAACGAATAAAGCACATAATTGACCGACCACGTCACATCTAGATAAACAGAAAATACGAAGAACTTGATATTTCCTTTTCATTGAAACACTATTAAGAGATTGCATCTGTTCGAGAAGTTGGGGGGGGGCAGGAAATAAAAAAAAAAAAAAAAAAAAAAAAAAAAAGATAATGGCATAACAGAAAATGAAGGGGGTAGGGGTCCATTTTGGGCTGACAGTATCAGCTCCGGAGCTGCAGAACTGCCAGCATGTCAGGTAAGATTACTTGGCTAAGAGCGGAAGGAGACCATTGTGCCACACAGTGGCCAGGTCAGTCAGCTTCAGGACATAAAAACCATTTCACCGTCGTCTAGCCGTGAGTACAGTCAGGCACCTCCAGAAAAGTCTCGGAATACTCACGAGGGATCCGGTAATTGTCGTTTTATGCCTGCAAAATGAGGCGGGGGTGAGTAAGGTAGAGCCCTACAATTGCCGATGTGCGAGGGACCAGGCAAAAAATGACGTCTGACACATTAACCCCCATTTATGTGTAGTCTTATCAGTAATGAAGCAGTCTGATGGGTAAAATAGCAGACGGGGTAAAGAACAAACATGCCCTGATCTAACCCCCCCCCCTCCCTCTTCCTCCGAACCAAAAAACACTCTTCATTTTTGACAATAAAGCTTTGTTTTTCCCCCAAAGCCCAAAACCCTACTAGGTTCAGGTTGTGGGGTTCCAGTGTCAGCCTCAGCCTGTTTTCTGAGATTGATGATATCCATTCATCCTAAAGAGTAAATTTAGGATGCCTCTCACCTTGTTCCCCCCCCCCTCTGTCCTCCCTCCCTCCCTCCCTCCCTCGCTCCCTCCCTTCCTTCTCCTTTAGGTTGTTATCATTATATGGCCAACCTGCCAACCTCCTTCCTTCCTGATTAATCCCCACGACCTGCATCCACTGACAGTACAGTGCCTAGGCAACAGGGGA